CAGAGTCAATCACTTTCCTATATACCATCAATGAATAAGTAGAATTTGAAATTAAAAACACAGGGGCATCTCGGTGGCTCAGTCGGTTGAGCGTCCGACTTTGGCTCAGGTCAGGATCTTGCGGTTCATGGGTTTGAGCCCCGCGACAGGCTCTGTGCTGACACCCAGCTCAGAGCCTGGAGCCTGTTTCAGATTCTGTATCTCTCTCTCTCTCTGACCCTCCCCTGCTCACGCTGTCTCCCTCTCTCAGGGAATGAGACAAAGAAGCAATGACAATGCAGTGGAACAAAGATAATCTTTTTCAGAAACGATGCTGGAACAACTGGATACTTACATGCAAAAAAAAAAAAAAATTCTAGGGACGCCTGGTTGGCTTAGTCAAGTGTTTGACTCTTGATTTCAGCTCAGGTTATGGTTGAACTCTCATGGTTTGTGAGGTCAAGCCCTGCATCAGGCTCCACACTAACAGTGTTAGTGTGGAGCCTGCTTGGGATCCTCTCTCTCTCTGCCCCTCCCATGCATGTGTTCTCTCTCCCTCAAAATAGATTTTTAAAAAATTTAAAAAATTAAAAAAATCTAGACACAGACCTCATACTCTTCACAGAAATTAACTCAAAATGGATCACAGATCTAAGTGTAAAAAGCAAAACTATAGAATTTCTAGAAGATAATATAGGGGAAAATTACATGACTTTGGGTTTGATGATGACTTTTTGAAACAATACCAAAAGCACAATCCATGAAAGAAATCACAGATAAGCTGGAATTCATTAAAATTAAAAACCTCTGCTCTGCAAAAGACAGTATCAAGAGAATAAGAGAAGCCACACACTGGGAGAAAATATTTGCAAAAGACACACCTGATAAAGGACTATTATCCAAAATATACAAAGAACTCTTAAAGCTCAACAATAAAAAAACTAATTTTAAAAAGTTTTTGCACAGGCGTGCTTCGGTGGCTCAATCAATTGAGTGTTGGACTCTTGATTTTGGCTCAGGTCATGATTACAGGTCATGGGATCGAGCCACGCACTGGGCTTCCTCTTCCTCTGACTCTCTCTCTCTCACTTGCTCACTCACTTTCTCTCAAAAAAAAAAAAAAAAAGGAAGAAAAAGAGGCAATCTGTGAAATGGGAGAGAATATTTGAAAACCACCTATCCAACAAAGAGTTGATATCCAAAATATATAAGGAATTTATACAACTCAAGTGGAAAAAACCCAACCAAACAAATAACCCAATCAAAAATAGGCAAGAACTTGAATAGACAATTCCAAAGAAGATATACAAATGGCAAATAGGTATGTACGAAGATGTTCAAGATCACTAATTATTAGGGACATACAAATCAGAACCACAATTTTAGATATTACCTCACATCTGTTAGGATGTCTATTATCAAAAAGAGAGAGAGAGATAACAAATGGTGTGGATGTGAAAAAAAGGGAACCCTTGTGCACTGTTGGTGGGAATGTAAATTAATACAGCCATTATGGAAAACAGAATGGAGGTTCCTCAAGAAATTAAAAATAGAATTACCATACAATCCAGCAGTCCCACTTCTGGGTATTCACCCAAAGAAAACAAAATCACTATCTTGAAGAAACATCTGTATTCCCATATTCACTGCATCGTTATTCACAACATCCAAGATATGGATGAAAGGATAAGCACAATGTGGTATGTATGTACGTGTGTGTGTGTGTGTGTGTGTGTGTGTGTATAATGGAACATTATTCATCCTTTAAAAAGACGGAATCTTAATGACAAGAAGGATATGTGGATCTTAAGGGGAAAAAAGTTGAACTCAGAGAAACAGAGCAGCATGGTGGCTGCCTGGGCCTGGGGCAAGGGATGGGAAATGGGGAAGGTTGATAAAAGAATATAATTTTCAGTTATAGCATAGCCAAGTTCTGAGGATCTAATATTTAGTATGGTGACCAGAGTCAACGATACTGCATTGTATAACTGAAATTTGCTCAGAGAGTAGATCTTCAGTGTTCTCACCATACATACACACACACACAAGGTATATTTCTTATAAAAAAAAATCTCTTTTTAAAAGTATATTTATTTATTTTGAGACAGAGAGAGAGAACCAGTAGGGGAGGGGCAGAGAGAGGGGGCGACAGAGGATCCAAAGTGGGTTCCACACTAACAGCAGAAAGCCTGACGTGGGGCTTGAATTCACGATCCATGAGATTATGACCTGAGCCAATTTGGACACTTAACTGACCCAGTTACTCAGACGCCCCTTACAGAAAAGTTTCTTACAAAGCTAAACATACTATATGATCCAGCGATTGCACTCAATGGCATTTACCCAAATGAACTGGAAACTTACATCCACACAAAAACCTGCATGTGGATGTTTATTCATAATTGCCAAAACTCAGAAGCAACCACGCTGTCTTTCAGTAGGTGAATGGATAAATAAACTGTGGTACATACAATGGAATATTACTTACAGCTAAAAAGAAGTGAATTATCAAACCATGAAAAGATATGGAGGAACCTTAAGTGCATATTAGTGAGGAGATGAATGGACAGAGCACCAAGAAATTTTAGGTCAGTGAACTATTCTATATGATACTACAATGGTGGATACATAACAGTATGTATATACAATATACACCCATTGATACTATAGAATATACGACACCAAAAGGGAGCCTTAATGTAAACTATGGATTCAGGATGATAATAATGTGTCATTGTGGGTTCGACTGTACCGAATGTCCCACTGTATTAGGGATGTTGATAGTGGGGGAGGCTGTGTATATGTGAGGACAGGGAGTATATGAGAATTCTCTGTACTTTCTGCTCAATTTTTCTGTGAACCCAAAAAAATGCTCTAAGAAAGAATTTCATTAATTAAACAAACAAAAAAAACTAAGAAAAACAAAAATCCCAATGACCTTACAGATCTGGGAATCTTAGCAAATCCAAAGCAGAGTAAACACAAAATCATACATAACCACATCATTATCAACCTGTTTGAAAACCAAGGGTAAAGAGAAAATCTTTATTATTTTAACTTTTTAAATTTATTTAAAAAATTGTTTTTAATGTTTATTCATTTTAGAGAGACAGAGAGGGACAGACCGTGAGTGGGAGGGGGCAGAGACAGAGGGGGAGACACAGAATCTGAAGCAGGCTCCAGGCTCTGAGCTCTCAGCACAGAGTCTGACGCCGGGCTTGAACTCACGAACCGTGAGATCATGACCTGAGCTGAAGTCAGATGCTTAACCGACTGAGCCACCCAGGTGCCCCTAAAGAGAAAATCCTAAGAGCCAGAGCAAAAAGACATGTACAAGGGAATAACATGAGCCACAGCCAATTTCTCATAAGAAATGCTAATCTTCTATGTCAGCCAGAAGACCGTGGAACAACATCTTTAAAGTGCTAAAAGGGAGGAAAACTGCCAAACTATCATTTTATATCCAAATCAAAATATCTTTCAAAAATTAAGGTAAAATAAAGACAGTTTTGGATAAAAGCAGAGAGGATTTGTTGCCAGCAGACCCATACAAGCAGAGGTAAAGGACATTCTTTAGGCTGAAGACAAACAATACCAGATGGAATTTGGAGCTGCAGGAAATCATTAGAAATGATAAATATATCAGTAGATGTAAAAGATGATTTTTCTTTGTTTTCTTAACTTCTTTCAAAGGCAATTGTTTAAAGCAATAACAACAATGTATTGTGGGGTTTATAACGAACGCAGAAGTGAAATATATGGCAGTATAGCACAAGGTCAGAAGGGGGCAAATTATATAGTTGTAACATTCTTATTTATATGGGAAGTGGTATAATATTAATTCAAGTTAATTGTGATAAGTCAAGGATGTATATTGTTATCCTTAGAACAACTGTGAAAAAATAACACAAAGTCATTGGTAGAGATAAAAATGGAGTAAACAGTACTCAATCCAAAAGAAGGCAGAATAAAGGGGGAAAAATAAAGAAGAGATGGGGTAAATAGAACACAAATAGCAAGCTGCTTGACTTAAATGGTACCATATTAATAAATGTAAATAAACTCCACAGTCAAGACAGTTAAAAAAGAGAGACCCAAGTATATGCCATTTACCAGAGGTATATTTCAAATAGAAAGAGTTGAAAACAAAAGGACTGAAAAAGATATACCATGCAAATGCTAAGTGTAAGAAGGCTGTGTTTATTTTAATATAAAAGTATAATGCAGAGGATACTTTGGCTGGCTTAGTCTGAAGAGCATGTGGCTCTTGATCTTGGGGTTGTGAGTTTGAGCCCTACTTTGAGCGTAGAAGTTACTTAAATAAATGAGAAACTTTATTGGGGCACCTAGGTGGCTCAGTCAGTTAAGCTTCTGCCTTGATTTTGGCTCAGGTCATGATTTCAGAGTCATGAGACTGAGCCTCTGTACTGAGCCTGGAACCTGCTTAAGATCTTCAATCTCTCTCTCTCTCTCTCTCTCCCCCCACCTCTTTTCCTCTCTCCCCAATGTGCACATGCGCTCTCTCTCTCTCTCTCCAAAAAAGTCAAATAAAAAAACCTGTATTTCAAAAAAAGTAGAATGTAGAACAAGGAGTATCACCAGAGAGAAAGATATTTATTTCATAGACATGAAAATCCTGAACATGCATGCATCTAATAACAAAGCTTCAAAACACACTAAGGAAAAGTTGACCAAACTAAAGGGAGAAACAGACAAATCTACAATCATAGTTGGAAAGATGGAGCATGAAAGAGAGAAATATAGAGTGTCAGAGACACAGAGACACAGAGTAAAGAGAGAAACAGAGAAACAGATAAAGAGACACAGAGCCTGAGTGAGGGTGAGGTATGTGGCCTGATTCTAAGAGGCTGACAGGACCCAGAGACAAGGAAAGAGAGAGATAGATCATGTCCTGGACAGGAATGGGGTCAGGAGCTCTGATCTCAGTGTGTGGAGCCAGAGCAGGGGTCTGGGCCTGTGGGATCCTGGAGGGGGTGCTGCAGGGTGGCAGCATCACTCACCCGCTGCCCCATGGAGCCTTGGGGGCCAGGTTCTCCACGCAGTCCCTGTGTGGGAGGGAGGAGATGTATACAGTCATTTATTAGGGTGTGTGTGACCCAGGGACCCCAGCATTCCCCAGAATCCTCCACCAGGGGCTGCCTCAGTACTCACTCTCTCTCCCTTCTCTCCTGGGTGGCCGGAGATTCCTTTGGGTCCAATGGGGCCTGGGGGTCCCTGAGCAACAAGACAGGGCCTCAGCCTTGTACTGAGTCAGGGTGGGGTGGGCAAGGACTTGGGGGACAGAGGGGTCAAGGAGGGAGTCCCAGTTTGGCTTGGGCCTCTGGGTTTTTTACCACACTCCCAGTGCCTGGCATATAGCAGGCAGTTTGTACAGCTCAGGGCTTAGAGTTATGGCCCTGGAGTCATAGAGTCCCTACCCTGATCTGGAAGTTGCCATGTGCTGGTGGCAGCCCTAGGGCAAGAACCTCTGTCTTACACACAAAAAAACAAAACCTTTATCATTCTTGGTCATACGTGCTACTTTTCCTTACATAGACTGAATAAAAAGATTTATTGAAAGTAGTTTGCATATTAAGTGCTCAATAAATGCTTGAATGAATGATTATATGAATGAATGGTAGATGGGTGAATGGATGAATATGTGGACTGATAAGTGGGTGGGTAGATGGTTGGACAGATGAGTGGGAGCACTTGGAAACTTACTCACCATGTGTCCAGGACTCCCAGGAATGCCCACGGGACCAGGAAGTCCAGGGGGACCTGGAATAAGACAGGATGTTCTCAGGACCAAAACAGAGTACCTGCCAGGAAGTTCAGTATCCGCTCCCTCCTGATAGCCACAGCCCTACCCCTTCTTCCATCTCCTGACCCCACCTCTTACATTGGATCTGGACTCAACTTACCCATGGGCCCTGGGGGGCCTGGGAGACCAGCTGGTCCCTGGGGCCAGTGGCTGCTGGTTTCAGTGAAGGTGTTGGACAGTAATGGGTCCCCTGGGGGAAGAAAGATGGTGAGTGAGCAGGGCTGGGCTGGGATAGAGAAGTCAGTCTGTACCTGCCATACCTCTTCCAAGCCAGCTTTGACTGCCCTGTGGGACAACCTACAGTGTGGGCAGGGTCACTGGACACTTGCTCCAAGGGTGGGGTGTGTGGAGAGTGCTGGTCACGTTGGACCAGGAAGCAGGGAGACCTGGGTTCTAACCTTACCGCAGTCTGGCTGGTGACATTCAGTAAGACATTCACCTTGCTGAGCCTGTACTGCCACACGTCAAATGGGAATAGTAATAAAAGCTGCCATTTATCAACTATCTACCTTGTGCTAAGCTTCTGTGCATGGGGGTCATAGAGCTCTGGAAGAACTGTGCAGCCACTCTCCCCATCGTACAGATGAGAAAACTGAGGCTTAGAAAGGGAGGAGCGGTGACATGGAATGAATGGCGTCCAGTCATATACCAAAGATTCGGCACGGGTATGATTGAACCTGGCACTCCCAGCTCCCAACCACTGGCGGCACACATGTAGGTCAGGCTGGGGAGGAGGCGAGGCATACACATCCCGGCCCAGCTGGGCGGAGGGGGCTCTCTGAGCATAGGGCCAGGGAGCACAGAGCTCATTTCCTGCTGTCAGGCCTTGGGCTTTCCAGCGCTCTGAGGGCTGGATCCTGGCCAGCTCCGAGGCTTGGCAGGAGGGCCGGAAGCTGGTGGTTCTAAGCACAGGCTTCGGAGGACGCCTGGGTTTGAAGCTGGTCCCTCATGTCCTGGATATGTAATCGCCCCTCTCTGGCCCTCAGTCTTCCTCATTGGAGAACAGAAGAGGACAATGGCACTATTGGATGAATGGGTGACGCATAGTTGACCAAGGGCAAGCCTGGTATACAAAAGGTACCTGGTGGCAGTGACACTGGGGTGATCATTACGCCAGCCCTGCCGCCACTCACACCATCACCTGCCATGACCCCAGGGACTCACCATACTGAGGGTTCCAGGCGTGGGGTGGTCCAACAGGGGCTGGGGGGCCAGGGGGGCCAGGGGGGCCAGGAGGCCCTGGTGGGCCTGGCGGTCCCCTCTCTCCAGGGGTGCCCACAGCTCCAGCCTGGCCAGGGCTTCCTGGGGGCCCCTGAGGACCTAAAATGGAACCAGGGAGTTGGTGGGTATATAAGAGGCAGGGAGGTCCAGGGTGGCTGCAGGGGGCGGGACAAGGCAGCCTGGGGGAGTGGGTACCTGAGGGCTCTGGAGGCCACAGGCCCAGGCCAGTCCTGGTCCAGGCCCTGACCACCCTGGCCATCTACTACAAACACAGCCCTCTTCAAGGGCTTTAGGACAATGGACACTTGGTATACAGCAGGTTCTTAGGAAATGTTGATTTCCAGAATGTTCTCTTCTCTCCCTTCCAGGCTATTGAATGCGTCGTTCCCTCCATCAGTCCTCCCTCTGCTCTCCCTGGTGTCCCCTCCAAGTCATCCTTTAGGCCTCAGCTATGATGTCACTCCCCAGGAAGCCCTCCCCATCCCCCACCCCATCCAGACTGGGTCTATGCTTCCTTCCTTGGGGTTCCCATACCTGCAACATCCCTCAGAACAACCCTGGTCACATGGTGGGGGACACTACTATTTCTCCTCTGCCTGCCCCTCCTCCCCCCAGCTGATCTGGGAGCACCAGGAGGGTACGGACAGGTCTGATCCCACCACGGTGCCCAGCTCAGAGCCCGCTGGGGCAGGTGCCCAGGTGCAGAGAATGCAAAAGAGGGTTTCAGGTCGCCCAGGTGCGAGTGGAGGGGTGATGAGCTGGGAGACATGTAGGGGGAAGGGACCCAGGCTACCTGTGGCCACGTAAGGATTCACCTGACAGGGCTGACCTGGGAAGCTGGGGGTCTGGGCAGTGCTGTGGGCACTCACCTGGTGGGCCTCTCATCCCCGTTGGGCCCCGACTGCCAGTGTCTCCCTTGGGGCCAGTGGGCCCAGGAAGCCCCTGGCCACCAACTCGATCTGGGGGAGAAAGTTCATCAGCTTGGCAGCTCCAGCCTTGCTCTTGCCCTGACACTGCCCCTTGTCCCCCAGTCAGCACCTACCATCTCGAGGGAGCAGCGGGGCCCTCACGTTCTCTCTGGCTCCTGGTAGCCCTGGGACAGGGTGGTAGGCAGGGGTCAGTGTCATCCAAGGTCTGTGCCCCCAGCTCCAATGCATGGGGCAGGGGCTGCTGGGGCTGCTTGACCCCATCCCCTCAGGCCAAGAAGGGGTCAAGCTGGGAGTCAGCAGCAGGGTGGGGGTTGGAGTTTCACTTCCCTGATTCATTCCCAGTGGGAACATTGCTCCTAGTGACACACTCACCTTGGAGGCCTCTGTCTCCGGGGCTGCCTTGGGCAGCTGGGGAGCCCCAGAGTGGGACAGGGTCCCTGGGTGTAGCTGGGGTGGGGAGCACTGCCCGCTCAGTGACAGTCAGCACCGCCACCTGTGGAGGAAGAAAAGGACAGGTAGGTACCAGGGACAGGCCAGGGACAGGCCAGCCAAGGGGCCCCGTGTTGGGGGCAGGAGGCCCATGCGGCCAGCAGAATCCAGCTTGGAGTGAAGACCCACTGCCCAGAGGCCTGGAACTTCATCAGAAGTGACCGTGATTTTCAAACCACACAATTCAGTGGTGGTTTTAAAAAAGCCATTATACACCGTCACTGCCACCCAAGTGGAGTTCTGTGTCGCCGTGTTTGCTGAGCCATGGGGTCTTTCCTATGCTGACTCGCATAAATAATATGAAACTACTCTCTGTCTATTAAAGCACTACAGGCTGGAAGGGAAGTTTGGGAAGGTCAGACATGAAATAGAGGCCCCGAGGTGTTCCAAACCACTTTGGAACCCAGTGTGGGGGAGACTGAAAGTCAGTGGTGCCCGTTGAGCTGCTGACTTGGGATTAAAGAGGGGTCAGAATGCCCACTGACCAGGGGGCCCTGGGTCGTGTGGTCCTGTCCAGAAAAAGCTGAAACTTTTGGGCAGACTCAGAACTAAGAACCACACCCCAGACCTGAGACTGGGCCCCTTAGGCCGCTTCTCCTGGGAGGAAGCCTGGGGAGCTGTGTGTTGGGTTCCTGGAGCTCCCATACCTCCTAATGGGGGTTCTAGCACAGGCTGTTCAGAAGCCCACTTTTCCCCCTTGGTCCCTCAGGGGCATATTTTCATGTTACAGAACGGAAGTGTTGTGAATGGCTGTCTAGTATTAGGCTAATTATGCAACCACCCCCTCTGCCATCTGTTTTTCAATTTTCCCTATTAATTATTAACATTTTGGTAACCACCTTTGCATTTATTCTTCTTAAGATAAATTCCCAAAGGAGGGAATGACGGAGGAAGGATATGCAGACAAAGCCTGTGTGTCTTCACGTGTGCTTAGAAAATCTGGGGACGCTTGAGTGGCTCAGTTAGTTAAGCATCTGACTCTGGTTTTTTTGAGAGACAGAGGGAGACAGAACACGAGCAGGGGAGGGGCAGAGAGAGAGGGAGACACAGAATCCAAAGCGGCTGTCAGCACAGAGCCTGACACAGGGCCCAAACTCACAAGCTATGAGATCATGACCTGAGCTGAAGTCGGATGCTCCACAGACTGAGATGCCCAGGCGCCCCAAGCATCTGACTCTTGATTTCAGCTCAGATCATGATCTCAGGGTCCATGGGAGTGAGCCCCGGAGTGGGCCCTGCATGGACAGTGTGGAGCCTTCTTGGGATTCTCTTTACCCTTTTCACACTAGCATGCTCTCTCTCTCTCTCAAAATAAGTAAACTTGAAAAAAGAAAAGAAAATCTGGAAGAAAAGATGCTTAAATATTGACCGTTGCTCTCTGAGGGCATAGGTAACTGCTGTGGATGGTTTTCTGGTAGGTTTTTCATGTTTCTGAGCTATTCATCTTTCTAAACTTAGAATGTCTTGCTTTTTACTTGCTAAAACCTTTTTATCTTGAGATAATTTGGGATGTGCAGTCGATGTTTTGCTTTGGAAAATGGGAAGATAGTATGGTGGGGGAGGGGAATAAAAGGCAAAGTGACAGGGCAAAGAAGAGACTCAGCCACGGGCTCTGGGGTTGGGGGTGTCTACAAATATCTGGCTGGAATGGAGATGGGGGTACACAGGGGAGCTTTGTGGTTCTCCTGGAGGAAGAGCAGGCCAGGCGGTCTGACTGTGAGCAGGCTTCCTGGGGAAGGGCACGGAGGGGAAGCCGGCTTGTTCTGGAGGGTGGTGCGTGCCTGCTAGGGAGACCACATGCTCACGGGTGATGGAGCTCAGCTCAGAGCTGCACTGTGGAAATGATGAGCGGATGGGGCGTAGGGGTGTGGGGAGGGGTTGGAGAGGCCAGAGGAGGGGCAGCTGCTCACCCACCTTGGCTTCCAGCACCTTCAGCCGCTCGGTTAGCTCTGATACTTTGCTGCAGTTGAGACAACCTGCGGGGAGGGAGGAGGCTGGGGCTGGAGGGCGTCACAGGTTTCCCTTGGAGCCCCTCAACACCTGGGGGCAGGATGGAGGCAATGGGACCCCCAATGACTCCAAGCCAGGAGACAGCCCAGCGCAGGAGAAGGGGCCACAGCCTGTTCAGGGCGGGCCATGCCCTGAAGCTTTCCTGTGGCTCCAGATCCTCTAGAGCAGATCCTCCAGAGCAGTCAGGGACCCACCTCCTGCAGCCTCTGCATCCTAGGTGACTCCTTCCCTGAAGCCAGGGCAGGAAATCCTGTTGCTTCCCCTTGGGCAGGGCTGGCTTGGGCTTGCCAGCTTTGGGGACTGACACATCACAGCCTGGCCTGGGCTGGCTCTGAGGCGCCACCCTCTGATTCTGCCTTCTCAACCACCGTCCAGCTCCTGCGGCCTCCCCAGGGATACCCCTAAGTTATCCGTAGCAGCTCTGGCCCATTCTGGAACCTGCCAGCTGTGGTGCACGGGGACTAGTGCTTTAAGGGTTCTCCAGTCCACGCCAGGATCCCATGCGTTAGGACGAGTGTCACCCCGGTTCACACCTGAGAGCACTGAGTTCAGAGCAAGGGTAGAGTGAGTTCTTGACAAGCACAAAGTCTAGGGTCAAGTCCCAGTGCTGCCCCTTCCTGCTTATTGGGCCTTGGGCAGGGCGCATCTCCTCTCTGACCCTCGGCTTCCTCCTCTTTAGAATGGGGACAATGATGCCTTCCTGGGGCTGTGAGATCGAAATGGGTTGACAATGGAAAGCACCTGGCACGGTGCCTCACTCATTGCAGATGCATAGAAAAGTACAGTTTAAATAAAAAGACAAAACTGGCGGCTTGTCTGCAAGAGTCTGGGGGTCATGGGTCTGGGCCCAGGTCAGACTCCCTCTAGGGCCTTTCTCTCCACCCCCCACTTATCTTTCCAGCATGAGGTGGGCAAGGGTGGGCCCTCTCCCTGACCCTCCCGGCTAGACTCAGCCGGCTTTAGGACCATCACCACATTGTGTGTGCTCCCTCAGACCTCCCCCAAACCAGGGGGACCCCAAGCAGCCACCCCAGGACCCACCTGAGAAGGCTGTGGGCCGAAGCGCCATCCGTCGCATGGTGTTGCCTGACCAGCCGGGCTCCACGAAGCCAGAGGAACCTGTAACTGAGGGACAATGGGGATGAGAGCCCCATGGGCCTGCATTATCCCCATCTGCCACTGTAGCCCCAGCCAGGACCCCTAGCCCTCCCAGTGCAGAGGGAGACAGAGACCCAGAGAGCTGGAGCAGTTTTCCTGGGTTGCACAGCATGAGCTGGGCTGAACTGGAACAAGACCGCCAACTTGATGGGGCTGGAGGCGGGGCTGGCAGCAGGTGGGGGCCGGGGACATGCAGCAAGCTGCATGGGTTAAGAGCTTAGAGCTAACAGATGCAAGGTTGGGTCCCAGCCCTGCTACCTGCTGACCTGTATGACTTGTCCTCTTTGGACCCACCTATTTTCCTATCTGTCAAAGGGGGTCATAAGGCTGGTGTGAGGCCTGAGGAAGGCAATGCGTACAAAGGGCCCCCTGGGCACACGACAGGCACACAGTAGGCAGCTGGGACATCGCTGTCCACCCTCTCCCTGCCCCAATTGGTACGAAGACACTGAGGTGGATCCAGCCCTAGTTTTAAATGAAAACCAGAGGGAGGCTGGCTGCCGGGGAGGGCAAGGGGGGGCTGTGCTCTACCCTGGCACCACCCCCATGAAGAGCAACCACCCAGGCTGGTCTGGCTTTGGGGGCCTGGTTTGCTCCACAGCCAGAGGGATGGGCTGGCCAAGCCAGGGGAGGGGGGCACAGCTGGAGGGGCTCTGGATCAGCAGTAGCAACTGCCCCCTCCACCCCCCAGGCCTGCCTTTTAAGGCCATAGAGTGCCATCCGGTGGCGGGGGGAGGGGGTGCGGGGAGGGAGGCGGGGAGAAAAGACCCAAATAAGGCGCAGGCCTGGCGGCTCAGAGCCAGGCTGCGGGTTGGTGCAGGGAGTGAGGCGCCGGGAACTCAAACCAGACGGGTGTCTCTGGCCAGCCCCCAGCAGGGAGGCGGCCAGACCCTGCTCTTCTATGGGGCCTCTGCTCAGACCAGGCCTGCATCGCCCGCACACCCTCCCTGGGGACCTGGGACTTGCCCCCATTGCAGGGAGTAAATCTCACCCAGGACAGAGGAAGGTGGGTTGGCAACCCAGGACTGGGGGCGTGGATCGGGGCAGGTGGGGGGAATGCCACTGTGAGCCATGGCCAATGCTAAGTGCTCTATATACCCCAGCTCGATCCTACATGGTAGGTCATAACAGCTAACACTTAACAGCTAGCACTTGCTCTGGGCCTGGCACATTCTCGTAAGCACTTCACATATACAGTGTTAACTTATTATCATCACAGAACCCCATAAATGGGTAGCTAGTACCACCTCCACTTTAGAGATGGGGAAATTGAGGCACAGAGCTCTTCTGCCCTCTGTGTTCAGATGAACGGATGAGTAAATATGAGTATCTCTCCCGGCGGAAACCAAGACAGCTGGAGCCTGGATTTGAACCCAGGTTAGCCTAACTCCAGGGCCTGACCTCCTCTCTCTGGGCCACCTGGCACCCCAGGTCAGCTCACTGGGCAGAGGCAGGGAGGCCTGGCACCTGCAGGAATGCTGGCTCCGGAGGAGAATGGCCTTGCCAAGCCTTCCTCGCCCTCTTTGCCCCAGGTGAAGATGTAAAAGGCCGTTTTATTACTCTTTTCAGGAAGTCAACCAAAGGATGCTCTGATTCTCCAACCCCATGGAAGTCTGGGTTTTCTCTGGGAAGAAGTGCTTGTTGCATAGTAGGGCCTCAATAGCCTCAATAAACCTTCTGTTAATAAATACATGAATCACCGGCTGAAAATGAATGTAAAACAAACAAAACAAAAGGCGAAATAATGTGGACAGCAGACACAATGGTCTTGAAAATGAACATAAACATTCTAACGTCAGACGAAGGCTTTCCTGAGCTACTAATCTCTGCACTTGTGGTTGGAAATTCTTTTTCAACCAAGTTGCTTTCGTATATTTCACCAGGAGCCAGAGAGAACTAGAAAACAAATGAAAACATGGTCTGACCATTAGCATAGATGTAACTGGTTCAAAGTGATGGCAAGTGAAAATTTTAAAAGAAAGAAAGAGGGAAGGAAGGAAAGAAGGAAGGAAGTTAAAGAAATAACAAAACTGTCGAAAAAAACACCCCAGAAAATGTTGTTTTAGTTTCAGGATTCATAAAAACAATCCCTAAAAGTCCTTCAAATTCTGATGAGTGGACAGAACTACTTTAGGGGACAAATCAGGTTGTAAAATGGCCTTTTAGCACAGCAAATCCCAGCAGGGAAAAAGCCCAGGGTTGGGAGGAGGTCTCCCATCATCCAAAAATATCATTTCCCTCTGGTATTGGGCCAGGACCCCTGGTGTTGGGCTGGAGCAGACCCGAGTGGGCTGAAAGTCCCCCAGACCCCAGCCTGATGGTCTGTCCTAAAGCGCTGCCCCTCAGCCCCAACCTTGCCATCTCAGGGGCTCCAGGCTGGATTCCAGGGCTACAAACCCCAGCTTCACTCTGGGAAGCCTGACTGTGGGCTACTTCCCACCACCTGGGAGGTCTCCACCAGCACCACACACATATAGACACACACAGCCTCCCTATCCCCTACCCCACAGCTGCCAGTCCTAGATCACCTCCTCCAGGAAGCCTTCCCAGACAGACCAGGGTACCCACCAAAGCTCCCCCATGACACCCTCATCACTCCCTGCCTTGATCTGCACAAGGACAGCATCATGTACAGTTTCAAGCCCTGTGTCCCCGTAGGCAGCTCCTCTTCCTTCTGCTCAGCACTAGGGCTAAGCTAAGAAGCCCCTTCTCATTGGGTCCTCATGAGAACACGAGGCCCAGAGAGGAGAGGCTGCCTGTCCACACAGAGAGGTAGGGATGTGGGGATTCAAACCCCACCCTACGCTGGGAATGTGGATGTGAGAAGTTGCGAGTGTCCCTGGGCTTCATCTCTGGCTTTCTCTCCCAGGACAGAGGCCAGGAGAGAGGCTTCCTCATTCATGAGCCACCCACAGGTCTGCTGGGTCCAGTGACCACAGCCACAGGGATGCAGCCTCCCCGGCCTCAGCCCAGGTGTCCTCCTGGGAATTTACTTTGCAAATGTAAATATTTGCTGCTCTCGGCTTGAACCAAGGATGGGGTCAGGGGTGGGGCCAGGAGCTCCAAGAACCCTCCAGCTGGCCTCTGGGAAGCCTCAGTCTGTGTCCGGCCTAGCTTCACAGGCCTGTGTCCAGCCCCTCTTCAGGGTAAAAGGAGGTTCCCATTCATTTCCTGTGTACCCACTGTACGTCAGGCACTGGAGAGATGCGCGTAGTGATGGCAGGGCAGGGGCCACCATAGCCAGGTGGCAGCTCCGGGAGGTCACAGGCAGAGGGGACAGCCACTGCCCAGGCTGTGGGGTGAGAGGGAAGGCCAGTGTGGGTAAGAAGGAGCGAGGGCAAGGCTGGAGCACATCACTGGGGTGGCCAGGAGGATGGAGAGGGGAGCCGCCCGGCTGAGGGTGAAGGATGGGCTGGTGGGAGTCAGGAGATGGGGGCTGCTGGGCCTTCCAGACAGGAGTGGAGTAGATGGGTGGCTGACTCAGGCAGCACTGAGCCCACAGGATCCTGAATCTTCAGAGTAAAGCACAAATTTGGCACTGTAACTGGCATCTCGTTAGGACTGGAAAGATAGGTGCAGGAAGGGCCCGGCTCTGGATGGTGGAGAAGCCCAGGGCCCAGGAAAGACCTGGGTCAGAAGCTCTGGTCTATTCTTAAGCTTTTTTGCTGTGTGACCTCAGGCGAACTTCTTCCCTCTCTGGTTCCCCATCATAGAAGGGTTAAAGGGGGGGTCCACAGATGGGGAAGGGGCATGTGTGCTAAGGACAGGGGGACAGTGAGAGGGAAACAGAGGTCCCCTAGCTGCAAGGGATCCCATGGAAGAGGAGAGTGAGGGAGCTCCTTTATTTTTCTATCCAGGGCAACTGGGGCTGAGATTGGCTTCCACCAGTCTCATGGTACCCCAACCTTCCGAATACTTCCTGCACTAGCAGTCCTCAGCTACTCCTGCTGCAGAGGAAAACTCTTGGTCCTGGGTCATACTGACGGACTCTGAATCAGGATGTGACCCTGAGCAAGGCATTTCCCGCTCCCAGCCTCAGTTTCCATATCTGGACCTTCTGCATCATAACACGATGGCATGACACTGGTGAGTGTGAGTCAGGGTCCCTGGCATAGAAGACAGTGGACGCTTTCCTTCCCCTCATCATTATTGTTACGGGAGGGTCTGAGGCAGCGGGGTGCTGCAGACCCCAGGTCAGAATCCCAGCTATAAAGCTTATTTGCTATGTGACCTCGGATGAGATCTACACCCTCTCTAAGCCTCACTTACATTGCCTGAACAATGCGGCAGATGGGTCAATGATCTGTCTGCAGGGACCCCCTCCTCCCAGAGGCAGGATAACACGGAGGCCACAGCAGCCCTGCCCTCAGCAGAACCCACCAGGGGTCAGGACCAGCAGAGACAGCGCATTCCGGCCTTGGACCTTCCTTAGGTGTTTTCCAGTGGGAGTGGGCAGCGAGGTGAGACTCCGCCAGGGTCCCTGCCTTCCATCTATCCCACTTCCCAAGGCCAGGAGGCATTAGTAGAGGCTTGATCAGGCAGGTCCCGTGCTGAGAGACTCCAGGCCCGCCCATTCACCTTTCTGAGCCTCAGTTTCCCCATCTGTAAAACGGGGCCTATTCTAGTCTTTTCCTCACAGGCTGTCATGAACATCAGGAAACATCCTCACTCATCATCACAGAGTGAACATTCCCATTCTGAAGACGAGAAACCAGGGCTAATGAATGAACAAAGACTCTGGAAACGCGAAGCCTGTTTGCTGAGCAGCTGACTGAGAAATGAATCTCAGAGGCGCGAGGCAGGACAGTCCCAGAGAGCCATCACAGAATCCCCAGCACAGGGGCCAAGGGGGAGAGGGAAATATTTATGAGTATCTACTATGTTCGAGGCATGAGTCTCTGACGGTCATAATAAAGTACAAGGTGGATACTTTTCAATCCCATGTGACTTCCAGATAGAGACAAGATTCAGAGAGGTAGGGCGACTTGCCCCAGATCACACAGCAAAGCACAGCTGATCTAGATCTGAATTCTGGAATGATGGGTGCTCCCTCTCCTCCTTCATGTCACCCCCAACTGCTCTGGTGACAGCTTGGTGGCCCCAGGGCCATGTCACAGTGGCAGACTATGAGGGCAGTTCCCACCAGGGAAAACAGCTGGGGGAGCTCAGCCTCAACTCTGCTGTCAGAGGAAGGGCAGGGCCTGATGGGCTTGCAATGTCCTCATGCTTCCCTACCCTCATTCCCAGGGCTCCAGAAGAGCAGTTTTCTAGAATACCCAGGCCTGGGCATCTCTTCGGTCCGCTCTGCCTGTGTGTGTTTGAGAGAGGCCCTCCCTATCTCACTGGCTATCACACAGTGTGCACCATGGGCTGCCATGCCACTACAGGGGTCTTTATGGCTTCATTTCATCCTTGAAACATCCCTGGGAAGCAGACTCTAGTACTCCGCCCATTTCACAGGTGAGAACACCGAGGTTTAGTGTGGGGGAGCCCCAGGCTCTGCAAGAGCACACAGCAGCTTGGTAAGAGAGGGTGTTCCCCGTTCTGAATGGGCACGAGACAAGGGCCACCTGCACTGCAGCCTCCCCACCCCCACCCTGGTGCCCTTGCACAATGACGTGCACAATGTAGGGGAGTCCCTGGCCCAAGGCCACACAGCTGGTGTGTGGCAGATCTGGCCTGGCCCATGAAGCCCTGGAGACTTCCATCCCCAGGCTGGGACCTGGAGGCCCTGAAAAGGGAGATGGCAGATGTCAGGGGTGGCCTAATCCAGCCCTTGCCTTGCACCCCCACCTTGCCATTGGCAGAGACCTTAGCCTTGATCCCAGTTCTTGGACGCACGGCCTCCAGCTGCGGGACTCAAGGGCATGGGAGCTGCCCCCACCTGTCCTCCGCCCTCACTGGCTCCCTGATGGCCCCACGGACATGGGAAGTTCTGCCCTTGGGAGGGAGGCCAGGGACAGAGTGGCCTTTGTCTGGGCAGGCTCTGCCTGGGCTCAGGCCTGCTAGGCCCAGGTGGCCCCCACCCCCCACCAGCTCCTCTGTGGCCTCATTGGCAGCAGCCCCTCTTGTTGGCTCTCCTCCTGCCCCCTGGGCCCCTCTTCCTCCCACCAGGGAGGGGAGGGTCCCATTCCTGGTTCCCCTTGATGTCTGCCCTCCCACACTGGCACTGGCGGCTGCCTCTCTCTGTATAGGACCCCTGCTGGGCATCGGGCAGCTCCCCCACTCCCCCTGGCCACCCCTACCAGAACTGAAGACTCCCCAACCCCACAGGGAAACCTGCCAGTCCCCCTCCCTGCCCCACTTTGTGGTGAGCTCTGCCCCCCACCCTGTGTGACTCTGGGCATGTGACTCTACCTTTCTGGGCCTCTGTTGCCCATTCTATGAACCAGGACTCTTGTGGGATCCCAAGGAGGCGAAGCACGTAAATCTTTCAAGAAGAACCTATGAATGGTGACTACTGTTAGCATCACGCTCTCTTGATTCAGAGGCCATGGCGCACATGTTCGTGTTTCTGCAATCAGAATATGTCCTGTGACTGATGCTCACATTAACGTGCTGCTTTGGGGGTCCTGAATGTCCCCTTTCCACTGATGTGCCTACAGGCCTGCTTCTTGGGCTGGTTCTCACACAAAAACCTTCCTCTCACTGAGTTCAGGTAGGTAGTGAGGGTGGGGGCCATCCAGACTGCTTAGCAGAGAGGCAGGTGCCCTCGAGGGAGGGCTCTCCAGGTGTGTCCAGGAGGTGCGGGGAGGCCTGGGCTGTGTCCTCTGCACCACTGTGGGTGCTGGGCCCTGAGCCACTGCAGAGAAGGGGGGTAGGGTGAAAGGGCTCCCTCTGCCTGGGACACACTCCACACACGATGCCCCCATCCCTGGGAGAGGCCAGGCAGACCAGGGTTCAAATCCTGACTGCCACTTAGGAGCTGTATACCCATCACTTTCCTGAGCCTCAGTTTCTTCACCCCCAAGACGGATACAACCATCCCAACCAAGCCGATTCACAGACTTAAAGGGCGCTTTGCTTCCATGTGCTGTTACCACATCCAATGGAAATGTCCACACGGGTTCTCCCCAAGCTTGGAGGAAAGGCTTGGGATGGTGTGCCTCAAGGCATGAGCTACGCGACCTGTATGAAATTCCTCCTGGGTCCTGAGAGTCAGGCGGTGAACACCCATAGGACAGCAGGCCCCGACTTCTCCCAGCCAAGCCTCGCTAGCGGCCCGGGTGTGCATGGTGCGGTCCACTGCGGCGTCTGCCGACTCAGCAAGGGTTTACCACTCCCACCCGTGTGCCTGAGGGAAGGCGCCTGGCTGCACCGCGAGGCAGTCCTACCTTCCTCGCAGTTCATCCCTGAGTGCCCGGGGCAGCACCTCCACTCGCGCGCGGTCACTGTCTTGTACATCACCTTGTACGTGGGTCTCACCACGGTTCTGTAGCTGAAAGAGTGCGCAGGGGGCTGAACTCAGACACAGTCTTCTGCCACCTTTCCCACCGACCTGGACGTCCATGGGGATGAACTCCAGGGTCCTCGGCCACCTCTGAGCCCCTCTGGAGCCTCTCTCCTCCTCTCTTTGGGGAGTTCAGCCCTTCCAATCCCTCGGAACCCCCTGGGTGGGGAGATCTAGATACTAAGTGGCCAGGAAGTCCCTGCAAGTGGGGTTGGCCTGTCCTCCCCCCCACCCCCCAGCAGTGAAGCCTCACTAAGTGAATGCATGTGGGTAATGGTGGAATCCTTCCTCCAGGAGGCCCTCCAGGTGCCCCAGGAGCATAAGGGGGTTGCCGAGGATGGGGATGGGGCCAAGGGTCCCCTTGCTCCACCCACCCTGCGGGCCTCAGCACTCCCCTGCACTCCCGGTGCAGTGTCACCACCAGGCCCATGTTCATGCGGGGCCTCCACCTGGGGTGCCACCAGCGCTGTTCCACTATGGTCTCACTTACCTGCTCCCTGGGCAGCTCATGGGCCAGGGGCAGTTCTGCAGCACTCGCTGAAGGTAGGTGCCATTCTGCACGTGGCAGGAAATGGTACGGGTCACCACATAGGAGCACCAGTTCCTGGAACAGACCCACAGTGAGGAAACTCAGGTGCCATGCGCAGCCTCTGCCCTGGAGCCCAGAGAGGACGGGTGAGGGGGGGCCCGTTCTTTCCAGGAGCCCCGAGTCTCTAGGGAGAGAGACCCTTGAGCTCTGAGTCCTCTGCGCCCCCATCAGGAGCCTCTGGGCTACTGCGGCTGAGGACTGAGTTCCATAGCTCTGCGGGGGCGGCTGTGCTGGGGGCTCTGGGAAGGTCTTGGGGACTGGGCTGTAGGGGACAAGATGGGAGCAAGGCCTCCTTGCCTGAGCTCTCCTTCCTGGATATCGCTTCTCTCCAACCCCGACCCATCCAGGTCACCAGGGCCTCCTGCCTCCACCTGGACAGCAGCCCCCATCTTGCCCCTCAGTCTCTCCCTAGGGAGACTGTCATAACACGGAAACCCGGCCGTGTCCTTCCGGTGCTCACCCTCGCCCGCAGCCCTCCAGACCTCCTGCGTTCGCGTTGCGTCTGCTGTGAACCCTCACCTCCAGGTCTTCACACACACACACACTCGGCCCACTGCCTGGAGCGCCCTGCCCCCACCCCTCCACTGGGCACCTCCAACCTTCAAAGCTCTACTGTGCTGTCACCTCTCCCCTTGTCCTTCCCACCTCCACCCCTACCTGAACAGAACTGATGGCTCCCTGCCGGGGACCCTCCCCTGCAGCAGCACTTTGTATATCTGTCTCCCTGAGTTAAGCTGGTGATTCATGTCTGCCCTCTCCGTCCTCTGGCATGGGGAGGGAGGCTCTGTCTCACTTACCCTTGTGTCCCCTCTGTGTGACAGCCAGATGTCCCAAGCACGGAGGACTGACTTCTCCAAATGCCCATTAATAATCATATTGCATTGTGGGGTGCCTGGGGAGCTCAGTCATTTGAGCATCCAACTCTTGATTTCGACTCAGGTCATGATCCCAGGGTTGTGGGATCAAGCCCTACATCGGGCTCCACACTCAGCACGGAGGATTCTATTTTACTGTCCCTGTCCCCCACTCATGCACTCTCTCTCTCTAAAAAAAAGAATCATATTGCATTGCATTTATTGAGCGCCCACTGTATGTTAAGGGTATTTACATTATCTTCCACTGCATGTTAAGGGTATTTACATTATCTTCCTACTAAGTCAGGAAGGCACCTCTCTACATTTTACAGAGGCGTAAACTGAGGCTTGGGGAGGGTAAGACAACTGCTCATGTCCCAGAGCTGGTGCATGGTAGAGCAGGATTTGCACCCAGGAATGCAGAGGGAACAGCTTGGCCCCTGACTTCATCCCAGAGACCTCAGCTCCCGTCTCCTCCCCATTTCCTGAGCCACGGTCCATGGTTCTGTGAAGGCCCCAGCCTGGGAACCTACTGACCCCAGGCTCAAGACCACAAAGGAATATCTGGAGGGGTGACAGACTCAGGCTGAAAGGGTCACCTGAAACAGTCCCTCCTTTCCCAACCCCGGCAAAAAATGCAGAGCCTGTGACCCTGTGCAGGGCTGAGGGCTGCTGAGCTGCTGGAATGTCTCAGCCATCACAGAGATGTCTGCCACCACCGACATCCAGTCTCCCAGCTGCCGCTCCACCCCCCAACCCTGATCCACCCATCGGAGAATGTCCTTGGCAGGGACCTGCCAACTAACTCACTGTGGGACCCTGGGGAAGTCCCTTCACCATTTTGTCACTCTGGGATCAGTCCAGGAGGAAGAAATAGCCTAGCCAAAAGCAAAGTGGGGAGAGGCTCAACACAGCCCTCGGCCAGATACCACATGGAAGAGGTGATAGGTGCTTATGGCAGCACTGTTGGGAACCACACAAAACTGGGAACATCCTAACCAGCTACAAGGACCACTAGACATGGAAAACCAGATGCTGAGATAGAGCCCAAGTTCTCCACGTGTAGAGCACCATGTCTGGTTAAGTGAGAAACACATGCGCAGACCAACAGATGAAGATTGCAAGTCTATTAAAATAAGAAAGCCCAGGGGTGGGGCGCCTGGGTGGCTCAGATGGTTAAGTGGTTAAACGTGAGACTTCAGCTCGGGTCATGATCTTGTGGTTTGTGAGTTTGAGTCCCGTGTCAGGCTCTGTGCTGACAGCTCAGAACCTGGAGCCTGCTTTGGGTTCTGTGTCTCTCTCACTCTTTGCCCTTCCCCTGCTCATGCTCTGTCTCTCAAACATAAACATTACCTAAAAAAAAAAAAAAAAAAAAAAAAGAAATGAAAAGTTCAGGGGTGCCTGGGTGGCTCAATTGGTTAACTTGATTTTAGGTCAGATCATGATCTCACAGTTCATGCATTTGAGATCCACATTGGGCTCTGTGCTGACGGTGGTGGGGGTTCCTGCTTGGGATTCTCTCTCCGTTTCTCTCTGCCCCTCCTGGGCTTAAGCTCAAGCTCCATCTCAAACTAAATAAACTTAAAATTTTTTTTAAAAAGAGAAAGCTGAAAGACTATTTATACATATTTGCACATATACAGCTCTGTGTGCATAAAGTTAGGAAAAATCACATGCTCACATCAAATTGCCACCTATGGGGGCAGGGAGGAGCTTTCCATCTGCTCTGTCTCCTGCACTAACAGCAGCCTTCCATTATCATGCATGCTGCACCCCAGGAGCTTGGGTTCAACGCCTTTCATGCACACTTTACAGATGGGAAGACTGAGACGCATAGGTCTGGGATGAACTCCAGGTACCCAAGATGAACAACACAATAACAGTTGGAATTCAGGTCCATCTGACCCTAGAGTTGGCACTCTTAACCTCAGGCTGGAAATTTTCTCCCAATGAGCAGGAAGGGAGGTTTATAAGTTAAAAAAATACATTTCTTCAAAAAGGCCCCCACTTTGGGCGCCTGGGTGGCTCAGTCGGTTAAGTGTCCCACTTCGGCTCGGGTCATGATCTCACAGTTTGTGAGTTTGACTCCACAACGGGCTCTGGGCTGACAGCGCAGAGCCTGGAGCCAGTTTCAGATTCTGTGTCCCCCCACCCCCCCCGCTCTCCATCCCCTGCTTGTGCTCTCTCTGTCTGTCTCTCTCAAAAATAAACAAACATTAAAAAAATGTTTAGAGGGGTGCCTGGGTGGCTCAGTCAGTTGAGCATCCGACTTTGGCTCAGGTCATGATCACAAGGTTCGTGGGATCGAGCAACACGTCGGGCTCTGTGCTGACAGCTCAGAGCCTGGAGCCGGTTTCAGATTCTGTGTCTCCCTGTCTCTCTGACTCTCCCCTGCTCATGCTGTCTCTCTCTCTCAGAAATAAATAAAAAACATTAAAAAAAAAAGAATCTAAAAAAATTTTTTTTAGAAAAAGGCCCCCACTTTTTAGATCCTCTGGGTCCCTAGAGCTGTTTGAGTTTTGTTTGGTGCGGTGGGGGGGGCATAAGCCCCTTTGAGAAAGTGATGTCATTTGTGGTTCCTATCCAGAAAAATGCAGAAAACTTGGGGTGCAAGTATTGGAGAGGACCTCCTGAGGAGTGCTGGGGGTTCCCTGCAGCCTGTGTGACGTCCCCCAGGCTGGCCCTAGGGCTCTGGGAGTGAAGGAAGGAGGGAGGGAGGGGCCACCTGGGTAGATGACAGTCAGAAGCCTCAGATACTGGAGGGGGGCCCGTGCCAGGAATGAAGACTCCAGGCCAATGTGTGGAGGTGTACACACACGTAAAGGCATGCACGTCCAGAAATACAGTGAGTGCAGATGCACATGTACACGGACACACTCACACATGTATATGAGTGCCTACAACTCCTGGATATACACATGCCCATGTGCACACACAAAGACCCACATAAACACACACATACACATACATTCAAGCACACAATCAGACTTAGGCAAATCCAGCAGGACACTTAGCCACAGGATGACCATTCTGTCTGCAGACAGAGCTGTGTGCGTGCGCGCACACACACGCCTCCCTTCCATGCCCAGGCCCTGGACTGGGCTGGGGGAGGTGGGCCTGTGACTGCCCACAATTGTTTGACCTGACCCTCTTTATACCAGGGGGCAGTGAAAGAAAAGAATTTTCTTCTTCCTTAATTAAAATTGCCCCCATGTGGGTCACTGACTGGCTCCCTGGTTTATTTCCCATGAGATGGAGTTTGCTTGAATCCCATGCTTAGAAGATGTGGAGCTGATGGCTGACTAGTGGGGGCCAGGGGGGATACTTTGGCCATGTGGGGTTCAAGGTCAGCCCCTAGCCCCCCCCCCGGGATGGGAGGAGTCACCAATAACCACACCGCACCTCTCCCCCGCCTTGAGGACCCTAGCCCCGCTGCTCCCAAGATAAACCCAAGTTCCTCTGCAGAGTCCTGGCCTGGCCTCTCTGTCTACTTTCCAGGGGCAGCAGGACCTCTTCCTAAAGTACAGACCTAATGTTGCCACTGCTGCTGTGAGTCCAGGGCCACCAAGGCTTCCCATCGCCCTGTGAGCCCTGCCAGCCCTGACCTTGCATTCAGATTCCCTCTGCCCGGAAGGCAACCATCCCACGCCCTGCTCCAGCAAACTCCTATTTGTCCTTTAGGTCTCAGTCCTAAGGTCCCAGGAGAGGCGGGGCACCTCCAGAGGTCCCCTTCCGCCGCTCATGGCAGCCTTGAGCTTTTCTCTTCCCTGCAGATGCTGAGGGAAGGCACTGGCAGCGGCCAAGCTAGGATGGGGCTCAGCCCGAGGGTGCTCAGGGAGGTTTGCCGAATGACTGAATGACCAAGATCAGACAATGGCCCTGGGCAGAGGAGCCAGGACCCAGGTTCCCAGAGATAGGCGCTGTGCTTGGAAGGCTGCCTACATCCCACTGCCTCTGGGGGCTTTCTTCTCTCAGATGCGGGTCAGTGATAAGTTGCCCAAGAACCCAGTGAGGCTGAGCCTGTGGGATGGGGTGAGGGCAGGAGCCGGGAGGAGGCAGCCCTTCTCTTCCGGGCTTGCCACTTCTGCCCACTCAGCACCTCCTGGGCCCGCAGAGACTGCTGGAGGAGAGAAAACAGGCCAGACCAGCTCGGTGTGGCACAGGCCACCCCTACCAGGGCCCCCCCACTCGCCCTCCACCCCCTGCCATGAGGGCCCAGGGGACTTTGTCTCTGCGGGGCCCAGGGCTGTGATCCGGAACAGTGATAGGGGCTAATTGCAGGAGGCAGCCAAGCGGGCCAGGGGCCAAGGGCCGTTATGAAAAGGAGAGGAAAGAAAGGAGACGTACACGGTGGGGGTAGGGTGATCAGGGCCAGAGCCCCACTCTGGAGGCGAAGTTCCAGTCCTGCCCTGCTGCTTCCTAACTCAGTGACCTTGGACCCTGACCCTCTCTGTGCCTCACTTTGTCCATCTGCAAATGGGGACGGCAGAATCTCCTCTGCCAGAGGAGATTTCACACAAACTGCATAGCACAGTGCTAATAGCTACTGTCCGTGGACTGTGACACTGGCTCCACACGCCACAGCTGTGGTCCAGCGGCTTCCCTGAGAGATACCAGCACAGAACCTTCCATACAGGTCCTTCCCTTGACTTTGGGATAGGGATTGCCAGGCTCTGCATTTTACTTTATTTTTTATTTTATTTCTTTATTTTTTAAGAGAACATGCACATGTGAGCGGGGGAGAGGGGCAGAGGGAGAGAGAGCGAGACAGGGAGAGAAAGAGAATCTTAAGCAGGCTCCACACTCAGCGTGGAGCTCCTGGTTGAGCTCGATCTCAGGACCCTGAGATCATGACCTGAGCCAAAATCAAGAGTCAGATGCTTAACTGACTGAGTCACTCAGGCACCTCAGGCTCTGCATTTTAAAGAGGGGGACACTGAGGTTCCAAGAGAAGTCACCTGGCCAGGTCACCCGTGTGGGCAGAGAGCTGGGATTTGAGCCCCCCGGAGTGGGGCTGGGGAAGATAACTCTCTACTCCTAGGGTTTGCCCAAAGGAAGCCCATCTTGCAGAGGGAAGTGGCCTAGGCCAGGACACTGGTGATGGCTTCTACTCTAGAGCCACAGGGCTGAGATGGGTCGTTAAAGGAAACAAGGATTCAGGTGGGAAGGGATCTCGTGGGAGGCGGGGCAGGAAGCAGCCCCAGCAGGGACTGGAGGCGGGGGTAGACAGGGGCAGAGGTGAGCCGAAGCAGCTCTGCACAGGCCCCGGGCACCCTGGTTCCTGGGGTCTCAAAGTCTTGCCACATTCCTGGGGCTGGGGCAGCCCCTTGGATGCTTTCCCGGGCCTCCCCCTCCCCAAGCACAAAGCCTCTTTTCTGCCTCTGATCCTTTGGCTGCCAAGGGGTGCCTGGGGTGCTGGGCTGGGGGTGGAGGAAGGGCTGAGGAGGTGTGACGTCCCCATGCTGTCTCCAACAATGCTGGGACACGGCCACAAGGGGAGGTCCTGGCAGCTGAGGACCACAGATTCCTCCAGCTAGGGGTCCCTTCCTCCACCTAATGTCAGTGATAGCAGGAACCACGGTTCGCTCTTCCTATAGGGGCACCACCCACCCTCAGAACAGGCAGGGGACAAGGGGAGGAAAGAGGAAAACACGGAGGAAACTGAGACCCGGAGCTATGAAGTGACCTGCCTGAGGTCACACACTGAGTCAGTGTCAGAGTCAGGGCCAGCGCCCTCACCGCCTAACCACAAGCTGCAGTCCTTTCCCAGACCCACAAGCTGACCACTGCTACAGTGCAAAGGATGCTGGATTGGGAAGCTGGCTGGCCTGGATCGAGGTGCTACTTTTCCTCTTTGGGCCCTAGTCTTATCTGTAAAATGGGAGCAGCAGCACCGCCCACAGGGCTTTTGTGCTGCTCAGGCCACTGGGAGCCTTCTGAGAACAGATGGGGTGACAGTCCCCAGTGACAACAGATACCTGCCCAGAGCCACTACCCGGCTCCCACCCAGGAAGCCTCGAGGAGGTGAGAAGCCCAGGCTGGGAGGCCCTGCCCTGCACTGGCTGGAGCACCATCCTGAACCTGACGCTGGGAATTCAAGTTTAGGGTCATGGTCATCTTAGCACCTAGGACCCTGAGGGTTCACAGTCATGCCCTGAGCAGGTCATCTCCTCCCTCTGAACCTCAGCTTCCTCCTCTGACGAATGGGAACCATAAACACGCTTGCCTTCCATGGCAGTTGGGAAGACTCTGGAAGTGGTAGGTGTAGGTAAAATGCCCGGCCGAAGTTGGCTGTAGTCAGCATGTAATAGGTGGTGGTGGCTGAGATATCTGCCACATGCCTGTCCTTGGTCAGATAACTTCTGTTCTGGCCTCCAATGCCTTGGCCACCTCTGCCCTCCAGCCCTAGCCATGTCACCTGCTCTGCTAGCCCAGCAGGGGCATGCTGGCCCCTGACCACTGGGAAAGGGAATCTCTGAAAAGAATTAAAGAATTGAGGCCCTAGGGGGTGGGGGCCAGGGAAGGCCTTTCAATGGGATGAAAAGGCCTGAAGAGGCCTGGCTACTCTGTATTGTTTGCCTCAGACAAGGGCTGGCCTTAGAGAGAGGACCCCAGTGGGGGTGGGGGCTGCAGCCAGGATGGGGCTGGGACAGGTTCAAACACTTATCAAAGCCAGAAAGACAGGGTCGAATCCCAGCACTTTTACGAAAAGCCGGTGAGCCTAGAACATTATGTGAATTCTCTGGGGCCTCAGTTTGCTCATCTGCTAAATGGGGATAGTGCTTCCTACCTCATTCGACCCTTGAGGGATTAATGACCACATGGCAAACAAGGGGCTCCCCACTGGGGAGATGCTCCACAAACGCCAACAGAGAGAATGTTCCCAGTTCCAGAAACAGCAGCAAAAACCCAGAATACTCTCTCCCATCTCTGTTCAAAATGCCAGGTCCCTGGGGGTGGCCACTGACCCACGGACTGTGAAATTCCACCCCTGTCTTCTTCCTCCGAGGGAAATAAATAGCCAGGGTACTAAAAAAAGCCAAGAGCTGGGGGAAAGGGTGGAGGTTCCCCAAGGGGAGGTCAGCTAGGAGATGTGCTGGGCTTTTCCTATATGCAGGGAGGGGGGCCCTTGAGCTAGGGCCATGGAAGTCCTGAGAGGCGGGCTTCTCCCTGGTTGTTCCCCTTCCCCCTCCTCTGGGGCTCAGGAGGTGAAGTGGTGGGGGGGGGGGGAGGCTGTGGGGGAACGCCGGCTCCGGACACATGCTGTAGGGGACCCCAGCACTGCCGGGAGCTTTGGCCACATAACTAGGCTGTCCAGGTCCCTACTCCCATCCCGGCTGGCACTGAGGTGGGGGACCAGGTCCCCTTCCCAATCCCTGGCTGCGCGGAGGTTGGGGGGAAAAGGGCGGGGGTGGGGGGGGGGGAGTCCTGGCCCCAGGGCTGGCAGGGCACAGAGGTGGTGGGAGGCAGCCCTTACCTGCGTCCGGAGAACTGGGCTCCCCCGACGTTCCACGCGGCGCTGCCTCCCGGGAGCAGGAGCCCGAGGCAGAGCAGCGCCCAGGCCCGCGGGCCGCCCATGCTGCGCCCGGCGCCCTCCGCGCGCGGCCCCTCGCCGTCGCCACCCCCAGCCTGCCGTCCCCGCCCGCCCGCCCGCGCCGCCAGCCTCCCCGGACGCGCGGCTCCCGGTTCCCAGCGCAGCGACCGGAGGGCGGGCGGGAGGCGGGCGCGGGGCGGGGGCGCGCGTTCCCGGCCTCGCCCGGCCCCTCGGCGCGGCCCCCCGCCTCCTGCGCAGCCGTTGCCAACCCGGAAGGAGCCCTGGGGGGGTCGGGTGCCCCAGCCGGGAGGCCCGCCAGGTGCCCACCTGAGCCTGGCGCCTTTCGCCGTGTGGCCTTTTTGAGACCAGGGTGCCAGTTCGGAGGTGCCCTCTCACGTGCTGCAGACCAAGGACCTGCGGTCGAGGCCGTCATCTCAGACGCAGCCCGGACCCAAAGCCGCCACGCCTGAACACGTGATGCCAGAGCCCTCATCTCTTCCCAACATTTTTGAGAGATCTAGTTCCTAAGGCACGCGGGATCCATCCATCCATGCAACAAAGGTTTCCTGAGCAGTGAGCACCACTGTGTGCAGGGCACCTTGCCTCCACTTCACGTCCTGTCTTTGTTTAATCCCCAAACTGCTTTGGGCAAAGTGGGAACAATTATTCCCATTATACAGAGAAGAAAACTGAGGCACTTGTAGCCGCCCCTGCAAGGAGAAAACCTGGGCTGGTCATAAGATCAGTGTCTTCTTTTACCATCATCTTACAGATAAACTGACGCACAGAGAGGGGCTGTCTGTCAGTGGTTGGAAGAGCCAGGATTTAAACCCATATCTTGTGACTTCAGAGGGGTCAGCCTTTTTTTTTTTTTCTTTTTAAATGTTTATTTATTTTGGGAGAGAGCACATGCAAGCAGGGAGAGGCAGAGGGAGAGGGAAAGCGAGAATCCCAAGCAGGCTTGCACTGTTCTCACAGGGAGCCTGACTCAGGGCCCAATCTCAGGTACCGTGAGATCATGACTTGAGTCAAAATCAAAAGTCTGATGCTTAACAGACTGAGCCACCCAGGCACCCTGGAGGGGATCACCTACTCCCATGCAGGGATCACCTGGGAGGGATCACCCCAAGTACAATTAGGGGAGAGGGCAGACAGCATATTGGTCTGGACCTCAATTTCCTCATCTGTAACAAGGTAAGGATCGGCTTAGAGTATCTGAAGTATAGGCATGAACTTCTGGGGAGAGGGCTGTGAATCCCTCAAAGGTGTGTGTGTGTGTGTGTGTGTGTGTGTGTGTGTGTGTGTGTGATGGATGAGTGTGTATATGGTGCTGCTTGTGATGCACATGTGTGATATGTGTGTGTGCAGGTATGATGGGTGTGTGTGAAATGTGCATGATGCTTGTGTGTAGGTGTGTGATGGATATTTATGATAGGTGTGTGTGTTTATGGGGAAGAACCACAGCTGTCATCAAAGGGGACCCCTCCAAAACCTCAGGATAGTCTCTAACTCCCTCTTCTGCCTGGATTGACATGCAGCAAGCAGTCCTGGGCTGGGGAGCTCCCTGCCCAACTTGGCAGTGCACCAGAGGCCTGCCTCTCAGGATCCTGCTGTGGCTTGTCCAGACCCAGACCCAGGATCTCTGCTAGAAACATTCTGGCAAGAAGGATCTGCCAGCCCCTAACTCTAATTCCCAGAGTTGCCTTGTCTGGACTCACCAGGGCTGGGCAGCACAAGGTCCTGGGCCCAAGTCAGGATGGGGGAGGGTATGCCAATACCCGCAAGGGGGCAGGTAGTTAGAGCCAGCTTCAAACTTTGCCTCTGCTGCCTTTGGGCAAGTCCTGACCCTCTCCAGCCCCAGTTTCTCTTTGTAAGGACATCTGCATGTTCCCTATGTGGGTGTGACCATGAGAGGTCTGCCCCTGCCCTGGCATCCACTGTCCCTTGCTTCATGTGGTCCCCCAAGCATGCACCACTTCCTCCAAAGATATCTTCATAGTGCGAATTTTGCCCCCTTGAGAAGCTGCTTCCCTCCCTCCCATGTGCTATTTTGGGGCACCTACTTTATGGCATCTGTCTGACCTCCCCAAATGCAGTTTTGTACCTCTGTGGTTAGCCCTTGTTTTGACATAACTCAATCACTGACTTCATCCCCTGGATGGCTGGTCACTCCCAAGGGACCGTCTCATGAGAGGACCCCAGACCCATAAGCCCTGGCTAAATGGCTGGGATAAAAAAACATCTCTCCAAAGGGAACTTTGTTGTATCTATCTATCTATCTGTCTATCTCTATCTATCTATCTATCTATCTATCTATCATCTATCTATCATCTATCTACAGATTGAGAGAGAGAGAGAGAGAAGGAGTTGGGGAGAGGGGCAGAAAGGGAGAGAGAACCTTAAGCAGGCTTCATGCTAAGCAGCCAGTCAGCCACCCAGGCACCCCCGCAAAGGGCACTTTGAAGGGCATGCATCTCTTGAGGAAGGAGAAGTGCCAGGCAGTGGCTTCTGTCCTGCAGAGTGCCTGGAAGGGACTGCAAGATGTCCCGGACCCCCTCTGGGGCCACAGAAAAGAGGAGGCACTGCCAGGTCTATTTGCAACACGTCCAAGATGCTCTTGTGTGCGTACTGGCATACACATTCCTTTGCTGATGCCACCAAACTCGTGGGAGCTTCAGGCTACTGCAGAATTTTCCAGCCAGCGAACCCTCTCAAAAAAGGGATCTCTGGGGCACCTGGGTGGCTCAGTCGGTTGAGCGTCCGACTTCGGCTCAGGTCATGATCTCACGGTTCGTGGGTTCGAGCCCCACGTCGGGCTCTGTGCTGACAGCTAGCTCAGAGCCTGCAGCCTGTTTCGGATTCTGTATCTCCCTCTCTCTGACCCTCCCCTGCTCATGCTGTCTCTCTCTCTCAGAAATAAATAAAACATTAAAAAACATTTTTTTAAAAAAGGGACCTCTCAGCGAGGGACACTCTCAGTAATAGGTGCTGTCGACATTTGGACAAGGTCCTGTCCTTGCTGAGGCTGGGATCTCCTGGGATCTCCTATATCTACAGCCACACCTCGTGGTGGTGCAGCCTGCTGGTTACCGCATAGTCTCAGTTTCCCAAAAACCTAGGTGTCAATTCAGGAGCAAGCACTGGGAGCTGTGTGAACTAGCACAAGTCACCTCCCCTCTCTGAGTCTTATTTCCTTGCCTTTAAAAGGAAGGGCCACAGGAGCTTTTAAAGATCCCTCTGGGTCAGGAGTGTGCTTCTGGGAAAGTGTGAAAGCTTTGGTCCTGGGGCACAGTCTGAAGCCCTCTTTTAAGCACATACTTTCATGGTAACTGTCATCCTGTTTTCTGGTCCTCTTTCCTCCCTGAGCAGAAGGGGCAGGAAATGCTGCGGGGACCCGGGTCTTAGTCATTTAGGTTTCAGTGTTTGTTGAGGCAGAGGGGAGAGGCGCCGCTGGCTCCAGCTCTCCGGGAGTGGAGGCTGCTCGTGTGGGCGGGGCCTCCTCCCTCGGGGCCTGCCCTGTGGGCGGGGCCTCCTCCCTCGGGGCCTGCCCTGTGGGCGAGGCCTCCTCCCGCGGGGCCTCCTCCCTCGGGCCCTGGTCCTCTCTGCTGCCAAGACCCGACCACAACCGCCAGTAAGACAGCAGCTTCCGTTCCCCAGCACTGACTGTGTGCCAGGTGCTGCGCTAAGCATTTGGTTGCATTGTCTCCTGCCCTCCTCTCTGTCCCTAGGGAGGCCGCCTTCTATCCCCGCAGGTGTGGGGCTCGCCCAAGGCCCGGCTGGTGAGTGATGGGTGCCGGCCTACCCACCAGGCCACACTGGCGCCCTCTGGCCGCAGTGGGGCTTCTTTAGGGAAAAAGAGAACTTTTGGCTCAGAGTTAGACTCCCGTGTGGGAGCTGATGAGGTGAGAGAAAACACATGGGCACACACACACGTGTGTGGACCACACAGGGACACAGACTCAGACACACACGTGCACACGTACGGGCGCGCGCGCGCGCGCGCACACACACACACACACACACACACACCCCTCCTGGAGCGGGCCGTGGGGTCCGGGGAAACACAGCCCTTCTGGTGTGGATTCACTGACATGTTCACCCGGCCTAGTCCAAACAGGAAATAGTGTTCTCATAGCAAACAAACCTGGGTGGCAGCCCCCCTTCCTTATGAACTCCCACTGGAGCCTGTGCTAAGGGCCTTCCCTGCCTGTGTCCCACAGGACAGCCTCCCTGAGTGCTCGCCATCATCGGCCCTGTTTGCACGGCAGCTGGGTGAGCCCCGCAGCCCCACCGGATCTGTCCCTATCACTCCGATTCTATCGGTGAGGAAGCAGCTCAAGTGGGCAGGGGGCCAAGGGGGGCCCACAGAACCGTGGCAGCAGCCCCTAGGGCCGCAGGCCTAATGGCCCAGGCAGTGCCTGGATGTTATGAAAGGCAGGGGGCTGCGTAAATGTCAGTGGCCTTCAAAGCTTCTGCCCAGACAAAGGGCAGGGCCGAGGGCTAGGCCTTCCCCAAGCGTTTCCAGGTTGGGGAACAATGCCTGCTTTCTGTGCCTTTGATCTGGAGGCCTGGCCCTGTTGCTCCTCAGTCCCAGAGCAGAGGACACCCTGCTGGGCCAGGGCGGGGGCTCTGGGGGCCTCCTGGGAGCCTGCAGCTGCCTGGACGAGTTATTTATGCTCCATGGAGCTGCCTTCTCACCCAGCTCATTCCATCCTCACAGAGCTGTGTCTGAGCCTGGAAGGGAACGGTAGGAAGGAAGCTGTCAGAAAATCATAGATTATGGCTGCAAGGGAGACTTCTGCCTTCCTCAGGAATCTTTGGGAGGAGAGACCTGTGCCTTTGGGGCTAGGAGGAAGTGACAGAGTGACGCGACAGCACAAACTAGCATGGCAGGCAGGATAGGGTACCTGGCTTTGGAGTCAGGAGACCTGGATGTTTGTGTGATCTACAGCAGGTCCCTTCTCTCTGGGCCTCAGTTTCCCATCTGGAGAGTGGGGGTGATACAATATTGGGGGACTTTCCTGTGACTGTGCTTGTGGACTAT